GCCTGCCTGAGACTTCACTCTGAGTTGATCAGGGTGGGGGGAAGTGACTCGTTTGTGTCTGAGGGCCACACTGGAGGGCCACACTTTGTGCCTGGTGGGACTGCAGGTTTCAAACTGGAGTTGTAAGATGGAGTTGCTTAGGCTCAGGCCCAAGGCCATCCTTACAAGTGGCAGCTGATGGGGGGTTGAAAGGGTGGTCAAAAGCCCCCAAATTTAGTATAAATAGTGAAGGAAATGAACAGACATTCAGCCAGSYGACACTGATGCCCACATGCCGGAGAGCCTGATGAGGACCTGGACTGACACCCCAACACTTTTCATCGTTGCCTGATCCTCTGCACCTTCCTCAYGGCTCTCAAACTCTACAGCCACATCTTGACTCTGGTGAGAGCCGCAACTTCTCCCTAAGACCCTCTCCTGAACCAGCYGTCAGCTCCACCCCAGGAGAAGCCTGCCTTGGTTCCTGACCTGATCACCGAGGTCTGAGWGAGTGTGCATCTGCTGGACTTAGAGCCTAAGGCTGAGACTTTTGATCTGACACTTGAGCTTAGCATGCGGAGGGAATGTCTGTCATGAGCCTGTTATGAGTAAGTGTGTTTGCAGTGCTTAGAATTATTCCAGAATTGTTTGCTATGAATTGATTCTATCGATTGCAGTGCCTAGCATTAAGGATTTTCATTTCCTTGATTAAGGACCTATAGAGTGAAATTGTACTGAGTGATTTGGATAAATAAAGCATTGACTAGGGCAGAAGTGTGTGGACACTCTTTACCCCACCCCCCCACCAACTGCCTAAGTTGTACCTTTTGCCCTTGTGACACCTTACCTTTTCAATCTGTATTTCCAAGTAGTTTCATAATTGGCTGTATTAGTTTACTGTGTCTGCTGTAACAAAAAACCCACAAACTTAATTACATCTTCAAAGACTGTTTTTCAAAGAAGGCTGCATTCCCAGGTTCTAGGTGGCCCTATCTACTACTGTTGGTGAGTTAAGTTCTTCCTAGAGGAATTCCAGCTAGTCAATTCCAAAGACTTCATTTTGCAACTTCAGTGAAATAATGGTCCCAAGGCATGGCTGTTTCTGGTTTCTAGCACAACAGATGAAGACTGATGGGATAATTAAGTTATATTACAACGAATGATCAAGCTGACATGCTAAAGAAATGTTGAGCATTGTTAACATCATGGGTGACACTAGCTGATGTTATATGCTTCAAGGTTTAGAGGGAGGTRTAATTCACCATAAAGAAGTAAGCTGGAAGGAGAAAACACATATGACTTCTATTTTCACAGTGACTCTCAGTACCTAAGATGAATAGCTGGCACTGAAGGTGCTCAATGTAAATGTGCTCCATGAATGGAACAGTGTCCAGATTACATAGAGGAATTCCAGCCTGGCACAGCGATGCACAACCTGAAATCCCAGTGGCTTGGGAGGCTGAGGCAAGAGGATCATAAGTTCAAGATCAAATCCCAGTGGCTTGGGAGGCTGAGGCAAGAGGATCATAAGTTCAAGATCAGCTTTAGTAACTGAGCAAGACCCTAAGCAACTTGGTGAGACCCTGTCTCAAAATAAAAAGAGCTGGGGATATTGCTCAGTGGTTAAGCACCCTGGTTCAATCCCTGATACCAAAAAAAAAAAAAAAAAGAAAGAAAGAAAGGAATTCTAATAAGGACCAACCACCCACAACTTATTGGAGGAGAAACAGTAATGATCTGTAAGTTCATGAAAAGACTCCATCTCACCAGTAATCAAGGCAATGACAATTGCAAGGAGATCCTATTGTACAACCCCACGTGGGCAAAACAAAGTGTGAAGATACCACATGCTTTTGAGGCTCTGGGTCAACGCTCTCTTAGCACTAGCAAGGGTGGAAACAGGTCCAACCACCCAGGTCCAGCTGTTTGGTAATACCTTGTCAAGTCGAGCCGGTGTGGATCATAGGACCCAGACATTCCACTCCTCCGTATTTACCTGCAGGAGAAACTTGTATGGACACATAAGAAACAAAAATGTGCATAGCAGCAGCATTTACAGTTGAAAAATATAGGAACCAATGCTTGTCAACAGACGGGTATAAAATAGGGATGTCTTACACATCATATTAGGTGGTGGCCATGAACAAACAAGCTAGAACTAGACATCTCAACAGGGTAGAAATTCACAAACGGGCCGATCAACCCAAACAAGGGGCAAGAAAAATATGTAGCCTGATATTACTTATAAAATGCTAAGCAACACAGTGCGATACATATCATTTTAAGGTGGCAAAATGTATAGCTAAGGTACTAAGAAAAACACCCAGAGCAGAATAGTGGGTCCCAGGAGAGGGTGGATCTGTGGGTATTCATCATTCTTTATTACTATTTATTCCCTTTAGAAGACAATTCATGTCATTCCTTATTTAAAACCCTCCAGTGGTTTCCCATCACATGGAACAAATTGCAGAGCTCTCCTGTGGGCTGCGTCATTTGACCCCTGGCTGTTTTCGGAGGATCAGCTCTTCCCTCTCCCCTCTTGCTCATTGAATTCTGGCTGTAGTGTTCCTCGGACATGCCACATATGTTCTCAGTAAATGTACACAGACGAAAACCCCACAAATACCAAATGTGTTCCTGCCCCAGGGCCTTGACCTGTGCTCTTCTCTGCACTGAGCGGAGGGCGCAGACCAGCTCCTCTCCTTCTGGCTGCACCAACCCACCCACATCACCACAAAGGCCACCAGACCATCTTCTGTTTTACCCCAGAGATGGAGATGACCCTGGCTTTCTCCAGGAGCAGTGTGGCCAGCAGGAAGGGTCTGAGCCAGAGAGTGGGGTCTTTTTAGAGAGATGGCTGGTAGCTACCCAGGCCACCATCCTGCTGCCCTGGGGGAGCAGGGCCTTGTGCCTGCCCTTGCCATCCCTCTGGAGGCCCCTTGGGGTCAGTGGAATGAAACAAAGAGAGACCCTCATCCCCTTCACCCCCCGGATACCAGGGGGCAGTCAGGAAGGAACGGATTGTCCAAACTACTACACTTGAGAGGAAAATTAGAATAAAATTCTGTTTTTATTCATTTTTTTTGGTTGTCAATGGACCTTTATTTATTTTTATGTGGTACTAAGAATTGAACCCAGTGGCTCACACGTACTAGGCAGGTGCTCTACTACTGAGCCACGACCCCAGACCCAAAATTCTGTTTCTAAAAAAAAAAAAAAAAAAAAAAAAGAGATCAGTGAAATTTAATTTTAACCAATTAAACTTGCTCAGTTTTGATGTAGAAAAAGTTGGACGTTGTCTAACCACAGCAAAGTAGTTTGGAGACGAAGACAGGCATACCGTGTGTGCTCCTGTGTACTCATACAGGAGATCTAGAAGTTTCCACAGCAGGGGTTTAAATAGGGTGGGGCGGGTTGATCTTGAATCCATAAAAACAATATGACACAAATAATAAAAGGAAAGAAAAATATCTGGAAAATTTCAGCATTAAAAGTTTTCGACTTTTTTTCATAGTAAGTTATATCAGTTCTTTTTTTTTCATTTTACTGAGATGTTAAAGTGAAAAGTATTGAAAGGTGAAAACTGTATGACCAGTGTGATTCTGCAATCTGTACAATCAGAAAAATGAGAAATTATACCCCAATGATTCAAATGTATGAATTGCCTAGATCATTGTCATGTCATGTGTAGCTGATAAAAGAAAAGAAAGAAAACGAAACCTTCTAATTACAAGTTCACATTTTTGTAACTTCTTTCATGGAAACTGTAAATACCATGGTTTAGCTGTGTTATTATTACAGACGGTTAACTTATGATTTCAACTTTTCGCTCTTACAAAACAGCACAGAGTAGGAATTTGGCTGAGTTTAGTTTCAAAACAAATMACCACCCCAGAAAAAGTGAAGAGGCTTCCGTGACAATCATCTAGAGGTCATGATCACATCTTCAATGAACTCTCTGAGGCCSACTTTGTTTTCCCAAAATGCCCCCCAGCTCACCCCACAGGTGAGCCTCTGCCAAGAACGTGCTTTCCAAGCAGCCAGGAGCCCAGCCTCACCCGGCCAGCGGAGGAAGGCCACCTGACCACTGCCCCTCAAGGACAAAGAGGGACTGTCCAGGGACAGCAGAGGACTCCTCAGCAGGACCTGCAGTTTCAACGGGAACTGGACGCCCCTTAGCACCCCCGGAGGTGCTCTCAGGGGTGCTCCTGGCAACAGTGTGGGGGATTCCGCGGGGCTTTCTGTGTTGCTGYGGTTTTATTAGCAGCTAGAACCAGGGAGGTCCTGGGTGGACAGGGTGGAGGGTGAGCAGAGCTGCCTGCCTCTGCGGTGAAGGTGCTGCCCCCTGGTGGCCACCTGAGGAGGCAGGACCTGGAGGGCTCCTGGTCCAGGCCTGGGTCTATAGACACCTAGAGGAGATCAAGGAGCCAAGGGCGTGTCCTGGACGGTTGCAGGGGGATGCGGGTTGCCCAGGTTTTGTTCCCTGTTACCTCCAGGGGCTGCTTGACACCTGGATGACAGATGCCCAGTCTCTGCTCCCCGCAGCTCAGATGCCCTCCCAGGCCTGGGTGGGGGACAGCTGAGTGCCACAGCTGCACAGGAGGCCTGGATGGGCACCTGGAGACCTGGCACCTCACCCAAGTGCAGCTGGGGAGTGGAGGCCGCGCCCTGCAGGGACGGCTGCTGTCCAGAGAGAGGGATGCAGGGGAGGGAGAGGGGCGGAGGAGCCCGGGGCCTCTGAGAGGAAGGTCAGCCAGGCTGAGGGTGCTGGCTGGTGACCACTGGACTGGGCTCAGCTTCTGCCCTTGATTTCCACGGGAATTCCCCTCTGGCCTCCGAGGCCTGCTCGTCACACATGCGCAATCCCAGCTAAGACACGGCACCTTTTATTTATTTACTGAGAGAGAGAATTTTTAATATTTATTTTTTAGTTCTCGGCGGGCACAACATCTTTGTTGGTATGTGGTGCTGAGGATCGAACACGGGCCGCACGCATGCCAGGCGAGCGCGCTACCGCTTGAGCCACATCCCCAGCCCGGGCACCTTTTATTCGGGCACCTTTTATTTTGTTGGCGGCTGCGGCCAAGCAGGGAGGCTGGAGGGTGTGGCTTTGTCGTGTTCATGTCACCGCCAACGATGAGAACCCTGGGGCACAGCCTCACTGTGGGGCACCAGGACCCATCTCCAAGTCCTGGGCCCCCACCACTCCCTCGTGGAGACTCGGAACCCTGGATATGGCCTGGCAAGAGGAGGGGGCACSGCCAGGGTACAGCTGGAAAGAAGCTCCATCAGGGAGCCGAGCTGCAGTTTGGGGTTTGAGCCTCCAGCTTCTTCCAAATGTGATGCTGGGGCGTCTCTACCAGAGTTCCCCAGGGGCCTGACAGCAGAGTGGGCTCCTGTGGGTCACGGGTGGAACCCAAGAGGACCCTGAGAGCCCAGGGCTGGGACTTGAGAGGAGTCTGCTGGGTCCCGTCACCCTTAAGTGCAGAGATCCAGCTGGGCAAGCA